TTCCATTTTCCCATTGGGATGTGACTGAAACAATCATATAAGGTACTCTGGGAGTGCAGGGGAGAGGTACATTGTATGTTCTGAGTTGTGGAGTTAGAATGGGAAGAGAAAGGGAAGGTTCTCTGGAATCAGTGATTCCACGGATGAGTATAAAGATGTAAATGGAGGAGGAGCTAGAGAATAACAGCATGAGCAAAGGCACCAAATAAGAAAATGTTGATGTTTCTGGAGAGTGGTGTGAGCCAGGAATATGAGTCTGGAAAAGTAGACAGAGGCCAAACCATACAAGATCATGGGTTTTAAGCCGATAAATCTAGACATTGTACTAATTAAACTTCTGTCAGTTCCGGTGACACAAATGCAAGTAAAAATAGCTCAACCTATAAGGACAGGAATATAGCTGCAGCAAAATTAAAGAGAAGGCTGCTGGAAAGGAGATATCGATAAGTTAAGAGTCTAGGGTGTTGGATGGATCATCCACGTGAAACCCAAAGTTTCTGAGAATGAGAACAAGCCTGGATGGAAAGGAAGACAGTGAGTCCTTGTCAAAATCATCAGTGACCAGAAGGGTATTAGTTGAAGATTGACATATGATGGAGATGGGGAGGTATGAGAACAGGATGGAGAACGGATTTGAACATGTAAGTGAAGGGGAAATGTTCTTGGGCAATGTCAAGATGAAGACAGGTAAGTTTAGCTGGTTTGTAAGTTTCTGAATAGAATTCTGAGGTCAAATTCAGAAGCAGGCAATTTTGACACAGTCTATAGGTTTATGGGTCTATGACTGCTACCTTTGGACCAGATGGGTAAACATGATCATTTTAGAGTAGAAGGAATCATATCAGATTCAGTTAAGAATTGGGCCCTACTCAAGACAGCAGAAACCCCATTGTTCTGAAGCCAATTAGAGGGAAGAAAGGACTTGGGGGATGGGGGGTGGGGTGGGGCTAGTCTGATTAATTAGTTGTCATCTTCCTGACCTCACTAGATTCTCAGCTCCTGAGAATCCCTACTAATGAAGCTGAGGAAAAGGTTACTATCTGGGTCTACTAATGAAGAATCTTCCAAGGAGACTGACAGTAATTGCATGGGGGTGCATTTGGAATTGTTCTGCTAGCAAAAGAGACCCATGAGCTGGCTAGGCCCATGAGCTAGTTACTTGAATCAGAGTTCTCATACCTTGGGTACCTTGGAGATGACAGTGAAGACATGTCCTTGGCATGACATATGAGCTCTCCATGTTTAGCCACCTATTACTTCAGCCCTCCCTATTAGAGCTTTCTGCTCTAATGATAACAAATTGCTATGGTCATTCTAGCATATACCATGGCTGGTTTTTTGCCCCATTATCTGTCCTCATGCTGTTTTCCCTGTGTGGTATGCTGCACAATGCATGTGCTCACATATATATTCACGATCACATGTCTTTATCTAGCTGATATCTTCTTAGGAATCAGCTTCTCAAGGAGCCTTCCCTGGCCCCCAGGCTCATTTAAGTACCTCTCTCATGGCCTGAAAATCCCCTGGCCTCCCACCATTCCAGCACTTACCACTATAATATTATCACTATATCTCCCACACTAGACTAGGAGTTTCTCAAAGGTAGGAACTGTGTCTGACTCACCTCAGTGTCCCCCGTGTCCAGTGCAGAAACTGCAATGCTAGTTTTACTGAGTGCTTATAGCCTTCACTGTCCACATCCCCTTAACCGCACCCTCCACGCTCATTCCCACTCCTTTCATTCATCTATTCATTCAACCTGTACTCATCAAGCACCTACTCCAGCTGGGCTCAGATAAATGACATGGTCTCTGTTCAGGGAGCTCCTTCTCAAACGGGCTTCTTGCAGGGTAACATGTGCTATGTACTATGGCAGAGGGAAGCACAGAAGAGAATAGAGAGGCCCTAGTTAAGCTGAGTCCTGAAGAATGAGAAGTCAGTTAGGTGAAGCTCTTTGCTCATTTCTGGCCTTAAAGGCTCCCATCCCCATTAACTTCTGGAAGATTCCTCCCCCTCTCCTCCCCTGCCACTCTCCCTCCACTGCATTTCTGCACAGCCTCTGGTTTACTTTACTGGGGTTAGAAATGTTACAGTGTGCTCTGCCAATGTTCTAACTAAGAGGGAGACAAGGGGGCATAAGGGATAGAGCCTTGGCTTATGCCCTATCTCTGAGCCTTGGTTTCCCTATCTGTTAATTACAAGTAATAACCCTTGCCTCACCTCAGGTCCCCTCGCAAGGTTGTTTTAAAATTGTATTTGTGAACTGTTAAGGAGTCTGCACATGTGAAGAACTGACACTTGATTAGTGTGTCTTTTCTCCACAATTAGATTGGGTCTCCCTTTGCCCCTAGCACTCATCACAAGACCTGGTGCAAAGGTAATATTCAAGAAAGACCTGGCTTATTGATTGACAATGAATGATGACGAAAATGAGGGTTTTCCCAAAGGTCCTGGGAGACAATGCAGGGGCAAGGAAGCTGGGACAAAGGTGGGCTGGGAATATAAGGGAAAGCGAATTGCCATGTATTCCACATGCCAATCACTTCACATACTTCCATGCGTTTAATTCTCAATACCACCCTATGAGGTAGGTAATATATACCCCATTCTACAGATGAGGGAACAGGTTGAGAGAGATCAGTCAACTTGCCTATGGTCACACAGCTGGTAGCTGACAGAGTCTATATTCAAATTCAGGGTTGTCTGACTCCTGGACCTCTTCCCACTGGCCATGTGCACAATGTGGCATATCCTCCCCTCCATGCCAGTTCCTTAGAAGGCATTTGTGCCCCTGACCTTGACCTGTGTCCTCATCTTCATCTGAACTGATAGTTTAAGCCTATTTACGTTGTTACCTGATGCCTCTTTCCTAAGCAACATCCCCCCAGCCCAACCACCTCCTTTAACACTGTCACTTGTAATAAGAGAAAGGCCAGAGAGTCAATTTTTATGATATTCATTAAGGAAAAGCTACATGCTAGAGGGTCTCTGAAGCTGACTAGATTTCTACAGCCTAAGGATAATGAGTCAGCAGTTGCCTCCTTCATCACACCTCCACAATTAGCGGGCACTTCTGCAGCTTGCCTTTTTCAGGCTGGGAAATGGGCTACAGGAGAAGCTGTCAGCTGGAGGTAGGCTGGCAAGAGTTGTGAGTGCCTTCAAGCTGGAATGGCCAGGGGAAGAGGAGCCTTGTTTGTATCTGGGGGCTTTGGCCCTCTTTATGGACAGTAGGATAATAGGGAGGAGGAAAGAAACTCCTCTTCTTTGCAGGAGAAGATGAAAAAGAGAGAAAAAGAAAAATAAGTGAGAGAAGCAGAAGAAAGAAAAGGAGCAGAAAGAAACTGTCATTATAACAAGCAACTTTTGTACAGCATTTACCCATCATCTCACTCAATCCTCCCAACCACTCTCAGCAGGGAGACACTGTTATTACTTCTATTTGACGAACGAGGAGTCTTGAGACTCAGAGAGGTTAAGTGATTCAGAAAAATGAAGTGACTTGCCCAGAATCAGACACTGTGGTAGTCAGATAAAAGCAAAGGAGGCCAAAGAGAATTATAAAGGAAGAAAAAGATGTGAAGTGGGGATGGGGGGAGTAAGTGAAAGGGAGAAAGAGGAAAAATTGGGAGGCAGGGCTATGTATGGACTTGGGAGATCTAAGCCCAATTTCCACTAATACAGCCATGTGACCTTGTGCAAGTTATATAATCTCTTGGAGGCTTCATTTTATCATTTATAAATTGGAGAAGATTATATTTACCCAACAGGTTGCTGTGAGGACTAAGTAAGATGTTTGTAAAGCTCCTAGCATGGAGTCTGGCATACAGTAGGTGTTCAATAAATATTAGGAACCCCAAAGAGAGAACATAAAGGAAAAAAGAGCTAAAATGAAAAAAGGGAAGAGAGAAGCTTTTGAGGGGAAATATAGGCTCAGAAGGAAAGGAAAGAGGAAAGTGGACAAACAAAAGAGGAGGGAGCAGGCTGGTGCCAAGGAAATGATGGAGAAGTTGGTTTATGCTTTTAAGGGCTGCCACCAACCTGGCCAAGGTCCCTCAGTTGGGAAGCAGCCACTTTGTCTGAATCAGGAGGGCCTTTCTTGTCTCCTGGGACAACCAAGTTCTGTTCATTGTCACAGGAAACGTTAAGAATCTCAAGGTACAAAACAGACAAGAATGTCTCATGCTTTAGGTGCAGTTTTCCCTGGGCCTTTTGTTGGGTTTGTGAGGGGAGGGAGAGATACAGGGGAATTCAGGGAGGAAGAACCCCATTAAGTGGAGATAAACCAGTGCGTCTGGGAGTAGAAAGGGCAATGGAGCTTTGCTTTTTTCAGTGTGGATCTTGGGGTGTCTCCCAAAGCCCAACCTGGGGTGAGTGGGAGGCAGGAGAAAGAGGAGGAAAAGCTCTGGTCAAAAAGGCTAAATCCTGGGCTTCTCATACTGGTGCCTTTACTTATCTTGGGCAAGTCAGATTATTTCTCTAAGCCATAGTGTCTGCATTAGTGAAACAGAGAGTCTGTCTGGATACTCCTTCCCCCAGGCCTGACATGAGGAACAAATGAGATAATGGATGTGATAAGTGCTTTGCAAACTGAAGTACCATGCACACATATTGGACTATTCACTCTATCAGAAAATATATCTAATGACCTCCCTCTGTGTGAGGCACAGGGCTATACACTTTATCTTTAGTCTTTGAAGTAATTCTATGAAGTAGGTAAAATTATGCCTATTTATAAACCATGCCATTGATTCATAAAAAGAATAGGTGATTTCCTGGGGTTAAACAGCTGGTTAATGGTAGAGCCAGGATCTCTCTGATTCTAAAACCAGTGCAAGTAATTCCTGCCCTGTACCATCTCCATAAAACAGAATCCTCTGCCAATGGAATTAGGCTTCCTTGCTTCACTCTTGAGTACTGGCTGTATTGTTCCAGAGTGTTCTGGCTAGGGAGCATGAAAGGGAAAGGAAAAATCCTTACCCGTATCTCTCTTCTCTTCTCAGGGTTTGACTTCTTTGAAGCCAGTGCCAAGGAGAACATTAGCGTGAGGCAAGCCTTCGAGCGCCTGGTGGATGCCATTTGTGACAAGATGTCTGATTCGCTGGACTCAGACCCCTCTATGCTGGGCACCTCTAAGAACACTCGTCTCTCGGACACCCCGCCACTGCTGCAGCAGAACTGCTCATGCTAGGCAAGGCCCACCAACCCGATCACCCCTTATTGTGGCCCCACACTCACTCTGCTTTCCCCAGTTATACTCTGTCCATCCCTAAGCCCTGAGCCAGCTGAGTTGCTGCTGTTCTTTGCCTGCAGTGGAGGTGGAAGCATGCCCCTGAGGTTCTCTGCATGTGGCCCCACTTATAGACACTCAGCACTAGACTAACAGCCAGGTCACAAAGTGGGTAGAGATTCACTTTATAAAAGAAGACTCCATTTTACCAAGGGGATTCGCTACAGGGACTTGGAGAGTGAATTTCTTTTCTGCCTTTAAAATAAGATTTCCTCCATCCACCAAAATTTGACACACACCCACACACACACATACACACTTTTCAGGTTCCTGGCCAACTGTATAAAGTGAGGCCCACCTACACAGTTAATCCTGTTAAAAAGAAAAACCTCCCCACACACAACATGCTTGTTTCATATCAGGTTCCCTGTGGGGCTTCCTCTCACCACAAGTCAAGCTTTGGCTCAGAAAGCCCTATGCCTGTTATCACGGATGCCCACAGGGCCTGGGCAGTTGCTGTGGCGACAGGCCAGAGCTAATCTCCAGAGAGCTCAGACTCTCTAATGATGCTGAGGGAGCAAAGGCTGAGTCAGAAACACACTTAAAAGAAAAAGATTATTCCTTGTAAAATGTCAAAGATTCTTGCTATATGAAAGAGCAAACGAGGGAGCTCAAGAAAGACAAAGAAAAAGAGAAACACAGGCAAGACAAAGAAATAGGTCATGAATTTCTGGTTTTGCTGCTTTCCAGCTGCTTCTTAACTATGGAACTTGATGAAATTGGTCACTGGTTTTTAGACTCCCAGAATCTGAAAATTTAGAGTTGGTAGGATCCCAAATTTTACCTAGTCTGACTGGTTAATTTCAATCTTCCTATTCCTGACAAGTGGCTGCCAGACCTCACAACCAAATCCCTTCCTCTAAAATACACCTTCTAGGCAGGGACAGGAGCTCACTGTTCACACTATCTTTGGGCAGCTCTCATAATCAGAAAATTTTCCTTGCTTTAAGCTGAAATCTGTCTCCAAAAATTCTTCTTCTTTTTCTCACTCAATTTGTACCAGCTCTGCTGTCAGAGACCTCACAGACTCTACTCCCTCTGCCACCATGACCCTCTTAGATGACTTGAAAACAGAAATTGTGATCCTTGGGGATATTCCCTTTTTGTAAGTCAAATGGTTCTAATTCCATCTGCCATTCTTCATAGGGTCTTCTCTCCATCCTGTCCATTTTTTCAACCTATTTTTCAATCACTCCTGAGTAGTCCAACTGAAAAACGCGATTCTAAGCAGAATAAATCTAAGGGGGTCATGACTCTGACAAAATTGGGAAAACTAAACTCAGATGTCCCAATCCCAATCTAATTCTCCTGGGAGTAAAACCTTAACTTCTACCAAAAAGCAGAATTGAAACCACTCCTGGTAGAAGCCGCTTAATTAAACACCTAAAGAAAAAAACAAAACCCCAAAAAACCCTGTGTAATGAACTGAATGGATTTGCTTATGATTCCAGCTTGTTTAGATATGGCACATGTTTGGTTTTTAGCTGAAATAATGACTTGGAACTAGTGATGATTCCTGAAAATTTTTCCTCCCAGCCCTGGCCTGAATCTCCAGCTTCCCCTTGCACTAACATGACTCCTCAAAAGTCGGTGAGGGAGGAGAAAGAGTCTCTCCCCAGTTTTCTCTCCATTTCAAATGCAGCTCATTGTCCTAGGAAAGTACATTAACTAGCAACAGGTCTAATGGACCACATAAAAGGACACTCCAGACTCACCCCTATGGAGACGTTGCTTTCTTTAATGCAGTGCAGAGGACAGAACTTCGGTCTTGGAATGAGGAGACCTGGATTCTTCCCTTAAATCAAGTGTGACTCTAGACTAATTACTTCCCTATATGAGTCTTAATTTCCCACTTATAAAATGAGGGGGTTATTTAGGTAATTTTAAATGTCCCTTCTGACACTAATAACTGACTTTTTTTCACCTTCATTATTTCGGTTGATTTGCAAAATAAACCCTAGAAGTGAAGATTATCACCCCAATGTCATTGTAGCTAACACTGATGTCACACTTACTCTGTGCTAGGCATTGTTCCAAGCCTTTTACATGTTTTAACTCATTTATCCACCCAACATCTTTGTGAGGGATGCACTATAATCAACCTCATTTAAAGATGAGGAAATTAAGGTACAAAGAGATTCTCTAGCTTGCCTAAAGTCATATAATGAATAAATGACAGTAAAAAGGTTCAAACCCAGGCAGTAGTCTCCAAGGTCTGTGCTCTTCACCACATTCTATACTACATTTCTTATAAACTATGATCCAAAGAGGTTAAGAGACTTGGTAAGATCGCATAGCTAGCAAGTGCGAGAGCCATGTTAGGATTCAATCCCAAAGCTATCAAGTTTCAAGTCCAGTAGAGAAAAAGATTTATGTCCCTAATCTGTTAACAAATTGCTCAGTGATTCAAACTAGTTTGAGTTGATGGATGTCTAGCAGAGTCAGTCTCTTAAGACAACCAGGTCCCATTGGTCTGAGCAAAAAATGCCCAATGCTTCGCAGGCCCAAGCTCTGGCTTTCCCTGTACCTGCCTCTGTTGAGCAATTCTCACCTAGCTCTCAAGCAGTGCTTTTAAGCAGCCTCCCTGCTCTAGCAATGGGGCATTTGGGGGAAGTGACTTGATCGACTTTTCTGACCATGGAAAAAAGTAGTGCCTTCATAGGGCAGTGGTTTTGGCTGTGCTTTTTCCACTGTTAAGTCGTGTACAAGTCAGGGATAATTACTATTGTTCTGGGCAGTAACATCCATCTACTTTAGTACTAGGATTTCAGATTGAGTTCCTCGTGACCTCTGAGTATTTTAGTACATATATCAAATATTATTTTCTCTCCTACTGAGTATCCAGGCAAAGAAAGAAAAAAAATTTTTTTAAACTAGTCAAATTCTTTAAATCTCAGGAGCCAGTCCAAGGGAGCAAGCATCTTTACAACAGATGGAATCAAGGGTAAGATGTAATAGTGGCAAACTCTTCTACTGGTGACAGACAAATAGACCTGCTTATGAGATGGCAATTCCCCAGCACTGCTCTGTGACCTCATTTCTGCTGAGTGGAAGGCAGCAGCTTCCAGCTGATTGCAGTACAATGTTCATCAATCACAGTAATAGCGCAGTTAGCCACCAAAGTTCAAGCTGCATAATATGTTAGTGGCAACTTGTCCCGGTTTTCATCTTATTTAACAATCCAAATAAAAGATTAAAACAAAACAAAACAAAAAATACTCGACCTCTAAAAAGGCAAAAGTAGGCCAAATGTGCAATACAGTATTATAGCTATTTATAGAACCTGTCCTAAATGCCTGTGTATCTGTAAATACAAAGTGATTCGTAGCTTATTACTGTCTCCTCAGTCTGTAACATTATTAGCTTCTAGAAGCAGCAATGGAGTGGAGTGTACCAAATAGTCACAGACGTGTCGAATATTAGATCTGCAAGGAAGCTTAGCGAAAATCTTGTTCAGTTTCCTTGCTTAAAGAGAAGGGAGGTTGAGGTCCAAGGGTGGGAGGAGATTTCCTAAGGTCACTCTGAGAGGGCATTCGTGATAGGCCCAGGACTAGGTCTTGAATCACCTCTGGGAAGAAATTCACCTATTCTGTATCTATTATGGGCCCAACACTACTAATTATTAGATAAATATAGTTGAAAATAAATGATCCCTGCCTATAATGTACCTGCAAGATACCTATTATCTAATGGAAGTGTGTTTCTATATTATCCCAATTTGTCAGGGAAGGAAACATAGCCTTGTAATATTTGACATTCCTAAGTCACCCTCTACGATCATTTGAACCCACCTCTGTCTGACTCATGCTCTTTCAATTTTCTTCTTCAGATTGTCTCTCAGATAAAATGTACATGGGGTGGTGGAAGTGATACACCCCCAAGGATTCTCAGTTAATTAAATAACCTCAGTTGGGACATTGATTTAACACTTACTTTGTGACTGCACCCTTCTAACATCCATAGAAAGAAATGAACGTCCTTCCAGACCGGACTCTCCCACTCACATCACCTGCTCTTGCCCCAAATTTCTAGCTTGGGTATCAAGTTTCCTAGAGGGTCCTGTTTGTTGGGGTTTGTTTGCCAACAGTTTTGGATAAGGGGAAGGAATTACAGCAACCAGTGTGCTGGCCAGCGCCTTGGGGCTCTGTAGGCGATGTTCAGTCATCTGCGGGTACTTGGGTACAGAAGTTTGACAAGCACTCACTGTTACAATGAGCTCCTTGGGCTACAAACTATGTCTCATTACTCTCTGCATGCTCAGAGAGTATGCAGAGAAAATCCACCACATATATATATATGCATAGATATATTCATCTATGCATATTAAGCACTCTATTGACGTGCATTCTGAGCCAAAATTGCAGACTTCTGAGAAAAGGCTCACTTGCTGCTAATGCACAGCTCTCCCAGCGCCTAGGGGCTCTGTAGGCGATGTTCGGTCATCTGCGGGTACTGGGGTACAGAAGTTTGAGAAGCACTCGCTGATACAATGAGCTCCTTGGGGTACAAACTACGTCTCATTCCTCTCTGTATCCTCGCGTAGAGTTCAGGGCCACCCACAGACAGCGTGCCCAGGAATGCTTAGACCCACCCTTCCATCGTCCCATTTGTCCCTCCATCTTTGTCGAGGAAGAAGCAAAAATGACTGCCTTCACCGGGCGTAAAGACGTAATTTGGGGGAGACTTCAGACCCTTGTGGGTCTGACTTCTGACTCTGTCACTTATTAGGTGTGTGATCACCTCTCTGATCCTCTGTTTTCCTCATTTTGAATGCGTATACAGGGACCCTTACGACGGGTCCTTGCGGAAAGTTGAGAAGAAGGAGGTGTCTGTTCCAGTCCTGAATTCTGATTTCAAATTTAGAAAGCAAGAAGGAGCAGAGGCCTTAGGAAGGAGCCCCCGGGCCTCTGGGATGAAAAGAGATCATGTTGAATTGTGGCTCTGGAACGCCCTGTGTCCACACTCCAGGGAGGTGGATGTGCTAGGACCGGCCTGTCTTCTCTGAAAGCCGAGGGGTCCACGCAGGTTTCCTTCGAAAATCCACCATATACATATATATGCATGTAGATGAATATATATATGCATATATATGTATATGGTACATCTGGCAAAAAGCTCTCTGGTGACGTCCATTTTGAGCCGGAACGGCAGTCTTCCGAGATACGGCTCACTTGCGGCAAATTCACGGCCCCCCCGGCGCCTCGGGGCTCTGAGGGCGATGCTCGGTCGTCTGCGGGTACTGGGGTACAGAAGTTGCAGAAGCACTCACTGACACTTTGAGCCCCTAGAGGTCCAAACGACGTCTCATTCCTCTCTGTATCCTCGTGCAGA